AAGCATCATCAGTGACCCGTGGCCTTCTCTGGGGTCGTCTTCGGCCATCCACACTCTAATCACAGCTCTACAAACGGTTGCACAGGAACTGGGATCGGGACCGGGACAGGGACAGGGACTGGGAACGCCGCTACCCATTCCAACAGCCACGCGAGCCTGGTTACAGGTCACAGCCACACGCTTCACGCGCCTCAACCTCAAACGCCTCTACCGACCCACGCCGCCGGTGCCTCGAGCACCGTCACGCCCCCCACCGCCGTCGTTCATCCACACATTCACGCACACGCTCATCATCATCAGTTGGCGCACGTGGCTCAGCAGTATCCTGCGCTTCTTCATCAGACGCCTCATGGCCTGGCTGCCTGAACTTTCAGATTTTTTGACACCCCAGAGAAATCGAAGGAGTCGACGAATCATCCATACGGTCGATTCGCAATGCAGCAATTTCTCATCAGTCCTCGTAGTCGTCGTCATCGTCATTTGAATAATCGGCATCCACGACAGAACGTCGGATAGATAGACACGTAATCCACATACACATACACACACACACACACATACACTTATCGAACTTTGTTCAGCAGCTATTCAAAGACTGCCTATCACTTGTAAGAAGAGATAATGTTTCCGCGAGTAGTATATTATTATTATTATTATTATTATTATTAATTTTATTATTTTTATTATTATTATTATTATTATTATTATTATTAATTTTATTATTATTTTTATTATTACTATTCTTATTCTTATTATTATTATTATTAATTATTATTGTTATTATTATTACTATTATTATTACAATTACTATTATTATTATTACTATTATTATTACTATTGCTATTATTATTATTATTATTATTATTACTACTATTATTATTATTATTATTATTATCATTATTATTATCATTATTATTATCGGTCATCGTCATCCTTATCGTCACCCATGGTTATTATTCAACAGAAGGTAATATTGTTGTATAGAATGTGCGTGATTTATTGCGGCGTCCTTGGAACGTCAACCAACCAGACTCTTTTTTTTCCCGCGTGTCGGTATATCAGGTGTCGGTCTTCTTCGAGTAGTGCGCATGTCGTATGCGGCACCGAACAATCTGTCCAATTCGTAATTCGGTAGTAATTTCCTCCAGTTATATATATATACATATTATATATATAGTGAAGCAAATTAGTGTCACTTAGTGTCTGTCCTAAACAGCCCCCTCCCCTTTACCTTTATTCCAATCTGGACGAACGATTTCTGTCCTCGTTACTCTCTTTCCTTTTCAATATCGGTCTGTATCACTTGCTCGACCATAAGTTTGCTTTGTCTTGCACTGTTCAGCTCAATCAGAATCAGAAGAGAATTTAACTAAAACATCTTGAATCTTTGGCGATTATGCGGAAGTCCAATCCAAGAAAACGACGATATTGGTTCCCATTGCTACGATATTCGTCCGGATCGGCCGAAGAGAACCGCTTCTTAGGGGTAAGTGTATCGAGGCGAAAAAAAGCGCGCGATTTTTAAAATTACGATCGATGTTGTTCGCGCGAATTCTGTTCTATTTGTTCGATATTTGTTGAGAGATTGAAAAGTTTTTTTTTTATTTTTTGTTAAATTTTACGTTTATTTGTTTGACGAACGTGAAACGTTGATCGCTACTGTCTGTGATTTCGCGGAAAGTACTAATATTTGCATATAAAAACGTATATTAGTTTTTTTTGTCGCGAGACGAGTCTGATCACGACGAATTAGTCGTTCTGTAGGATCCAATCGATTTTTATTTTGAATTCCAGCTGAACAGTGAGACGTAAACCGATTTTCGATTTTGTACTATCCAACGTGCGCAAGTTCGCTGACGAGTTGCAGCGGGATGAAATGATTTAGATCTTTGTAGATAATCTTCTATACTCATTATAATTCGATGTTTCATCCTGTGTGAGATCGTCAGTCGAAAAATCGTTAATAACGAAATCAGAGAAGATCAAAATGAGAAATTAGAACTGGGTTCTTCCTAATCTTCGACAAAACGATTTGCGACAAATAACAGAGTGGACAAAGACTCGATCATTTTTGCAAAGTGTTTTCGTCGAAGACACACGTCTAAGATGGACCTGGTCCAAAGCAACGATGCGTTCGAAGAATTAGTCTAATTATGTCCAGAATGTTGTATTCATTGCCTACCAAGGATCGCAAACTAGTACCTATAATTCTTATGTTATATGTAAAAAAAAAAAAAAAATCGATTTAGATTTTAAAAGCATACCTAGTGGACTGTCGAGTGGAATACCATTCTGAGACTGAGGTTAGGATCTCAGTCGTGGAATGAATGATATTGTGAATCGAATTCTTATCGTTTCAATTTCAATTTTTCAACGACGAGAAAAAAAACAATTCAATTGTTATTTATTTGTTAAGTGTGAAATTATTTGTTTTGCTTGGAAAAAATTCCAAATATATGTGATTAATCCAGAATTCAAATTCGATCACTTTCCTCGTTTGAAATGGCATTTGTCTTTGGATCTGGTTATGATAACATTGTTGACAAATTGAAAAAAATTCGAAATTCGTTCGCGAGACTGGAAAAAATTTACATAATAAAATTGATGATTAGTTTCTCTTTTCAGATTCGAGGATGAATGTTATCCCTACGAACGAGATCCTAAATGCGGTCATAATCTATAAGAAACAAATAAGGGTTCACCTTTTAATCGGTACGTCAGTGAGTAAGTAGGTAATTTAATCGGATGTTAAATAAAAATAAATATCCCGGATCTCTATTCTCTAAGGTGCAACATTATCTAAATTATAAGGGCCGCTGAATGAGTATGCATGCCTAAGATATATTATATAACATACACGCGTATTTCTTGAATGTATGTGAGTGCGCGCCCGCGCTCATGCGTTTACATCCATATGCACGTGCAATATTGATTAAAAATTTGAAATCACTAATTTATATCTATAAAAATATTTAAGAAAAGAAAATAGATTAAAATATTCTTTTGCCAAAAATTTGTTGATAAATTAAATAAGATTTAAATATTTGAAAAATAGGTTAGAAAATTTTTTCGTTACGAATCTATTAGGATCAAATGAAATTGTTATCCGTAACGTTGAATTAAGAATAAAATTAAAATTACAATTGAATTGAAATGTGATTCCAAATTTTTGATCGATAATATATGCGAAGTATTCGAAAAGATGTGTCATCGGAAGAAAAATCAATAAAGAGAAAGTGGTATAGGATTGGAATTTCTTAAAAGCGTAGACGCGCATGCGCGCGTGTTTGTGCACTCATGGGCGCATCAGAAGAAGAGAGAGCGCGCAGCGCATGAGTGTGAGAGAGAGACAGAGAGCGAGCGCGAGAAAGAGTGAAAGAGAACGAAAAGAATTATCTGAAATAACGTTATACATAACGATAAATAGAAACTTGACGTGAAACGGGAGGAAGCAACGAAACAGCAAAATATGTATTGTAATAATTAGACTTTAACTTTTAAAATGGAGACAATGAGACAGAAACGTAAGTATAAATATTCACAAACATTCGTCTCAAATACGAAAAAACATACACGAAATGAATTATAATTTCGAATCGGTAGCAATTCGTTTCGTTGATCATCATGTTTCTTTTAAAAATTTAATTTAAAGATTAGATAAAGAAATTAGATAAATTTAAATACAAATTATTTTTTCGTTCTTTTTATATTAAAAGCACAAATGTGTAATTCGACAAATTAGTGGAATTTTACACTTCAAAATATATTAAGACAATTACAATAGTGTTTGTTTTAGTGTCCAGACTTTTCTCGCTTTAGCATCCATCGTTATCTCCAACAATTCTTGGAAGCGAGGTTCGAGCGTGCTTAACGAGGTAACTTTATCTGAATCAGACTCATTTCTTTCGTTTGGTTGAATTCGCATAAGTTAGCTCCTCCGTTTGAACGTATGGACTGTGGACATTAAAGCGGCCACTACAGTATTAACCTCAAAATTTTTGCAATTTATTTACTTTCGAGTCCAATTTCACTACAAAATAATAATTTCATAGCAATATAAATTCAAAGATAAAAAATTTGCACATTACGATTTACTGAAAAAATAAAAATTTAATAAAATATCCATTGAATAATTACTTCATTGTGCTTTATTTTTTTTTATAATTCAAATGTGTCTATGAAATGAGTTGTTAACGATATCGAATGTAATTCGAATAAACACACTGTGAGATTGGGTCTCGGAATAAACGATAATAGATTCCGCCGCGACTACTATTAAATACGATTAATTATATAACGATGATAAAGTATCGAAGTATACACAAATAAAATAAGTAAAATTGAAATTGGAGATACGAGAAACGAAACCGAACAGAAGTATAGAGAAAGGAAAAGGGGATATAGGAAGATTTTATGAAGATTAAAGTCAAAATCAGTACATCATTCGGATTCTCAACATGGATTATTATCGATAATAGCGATTAGTTGCTAATTGTCTTGCCGCTGACGATCTTCAATGCGAATATTACGATGATTAATATTATACCACGATTGATTATATTATATTATTATATTAATTATTATTATTTTTATTATTATTATTATTATTATTATTATTATTATTATTATTATTATTATT